TGGAAGAACGCGAGTGGGGTATCTGTATTGACATGTGAGAGCTATACTAATCTGGAAGGTAGGGCTATACTCCTGACGGCTATACTGACCTGGGAGCAAGGGACGGCTTCATGAGCTGGTAGAAGTTGCGCAAAGTGTCTTGGATGACGTTGTTGCCTGTGTACTTGGAGGAGCGCGAGAGGTAGATGACAACTGCAATGAGCGGCAGCAGGATGCCCACCCCAACCAGACCAAGAAGAAGGTACGCTCCCTGCACAGGAGGTGGGGTGGGGGACCGTGGGAAGGGAAAGTGGGGGGTGGGAAGAAGTTCCGTGAATGTACTTGGAGGAGCACGAGAGGTAGATGACGACTGCAATGAGGGGTAGCAGGATGATGCCTACCCCGACCAAGCCAAGAAGAAGGTACGCTCCCTGCACGGGTTGGTGGGACGGCAGGTGGGTAAGAGGGGTGTCAGAAGGCGCTTCGTGAAGGCACTTGGAGGAGCGGGAGAGGTAGATGACAACTGCAACCACACCACACTGTGAGCAGCTTCAAAGGGTGACTTTTGAGTCGACTCAAAAGTCACCTTGGAGGAGCAGGAGAGGTAGATGACTGCAACCACACCACACCATGAGCAGCTTCAAAAGGCCCACCTCCTAAGTCCTTGGGATACAACCACACCTTGGGTCCCTGGATGTCGAGCATGAACTTGGGGGCCAAGCGATTCCCTTCCCACGTTCATCGCCTGCTGCCCCTCCGGTCCGGGTGGCCCCACCTCTCACAATCAACAAAAGTATGAGCAGTTTCATACGGCCCAAACCCACCCCACCTTGGATTATAGCCCCACCTTGAGCCCTTGAATGTCGAGCATGAACTTGGGCAGCGCGATGCCCACGTTCATTGCCTGCTGCCCGTCCGGGTGGCCCCACCTCTCAACAGAACCAACCAGCCACATTATGAGCAGCTTCATACGGCCCGCCTCTTAAGCCCCACCTTGGATTAGAACCTCACCTTGGGTCCTTGAATGTCGAGCATGAACTTGGGCAGCGCGATGCCCACGTTCATGGCCTGCTGCCCGTCCGGATGGCCGTACTTCTCCCAGTTGGCCCTCGCCACCTCGTCCGTCAGCGCCTGGTATGCCTTGGAGATGTAATCCACAAAGAACTTGTGGGCGGCTGGTGGGGGACAAGGAACGGGGGGAAGGGCAGGACAAGAGTCGGGATAAGCACGTAAACCCCAGGCCTCTACCAGCCACCTGGTCCGTCAGTGCCTGGTACGTCTTGGAGATGTAATCCACGAAAAACTTGTGGGCGTCTGGTGGTGGTGGAGGTGAAAACGCATAGGGAGGAGGGCAGGACAAGAGTTGTGATAAGCAAGTAAACCCCTCGTCGCTATCAACCACCTCGTCCGTCAGCGCCTGGTACGCCTTGGGGATGTAATCCGTGAAGAACTTGTGGGCGGCTGGCAGCACACACATGGGGGATACGTGGAAGACAAAGTCTCCAAACTCGATTGCATCGGTTTACTTGCACAAGGAGATTTCCTGGGTAGGGTTACTAGAAAAACGGCATTACCTGGGTCAGGGTTCCTGTCAGGGTGGTGCTGCAGGGAGAGCTTGCGGCAGGGCATTTACCTGAGTAGGGCTACGTCCCAAAGAGCATCTACCTGGGTCGGGGTTCACCTGGGTCGGGGTTCACCTGGGTCGGGGTTCACCTGGGTCGGGGTTCACCTGGGTCGGGGTTCTTGTCAGGGTGGTACTGCAAGGAGAGCTTGCGGTATGCCTTCTTGATGTCCGCATCTGATGCTCCAGGACTTAGCCCCAGGATGGAGAACGGCTCGAATGGCTGTGCCTGCATGCATGCACACACACACGGACATATATAATTTCCATTAGTATCACATTATGCCATATCTCGTCCTCATGATGTAATGTACGTAGACGACTTTTGAGATGTGTCAAAAGTCATCTGATGCTCCAGGACTTAGCCCCAGGATGGAGAATGGCTCGAAGGGCTGTGCCTGCATGCATGCATACACACAGGGACACATGTGGAATGATATCAAATCATGACACATCACACCACGTTATGCAAAGGGAATCTGGAATATATCATAAATGTAACCTACTACATCAGTTTGTAACGTATATCTCGGTTGAGAACTTTGATGTAGTATAGGATGGAGAAAAGAAAAGTGTAGAGAGAGAGGAGTGAAAGGGGGACGTACATCGCGGTTGAGAACTTTGATGTAGTAGAGTAGAGCGACCATGGCGACCCACATGAGAATGAGCGACACGTTCTGAATCGATAGGAACTTGGACACCTGTTTCGAGGCAAACATTGTGACAAAGGAGGGAGAGAAGTGAGGAGGAGAGAGAAAAGTGAGTGGGGTTTGAGGCGCCTCAATATGCGACCAACATGAGGATGAGAGACGCGTTCTGAATCGACAGGAACTTGGACACCTGTTTCGAGGAAATCAATGGAGCGAGGGAGAAACGTAACCGAGGAGAGAGAAAACTGAGGGGAGTTTTGAGGCGCCTGGAAAGACGAGCCACAAGGGAATTGTGTCGCGCTTCGGATCACAAGGATTTCGAACCTCGATTCTAAGAATTCGTTGGAGCAAGGGAGGGAGAAACGTGACGAGGGTTGACAACATCAGGTTTCCTGTCATGGTAATGACAGTCTCTTCAATTGAAGCAAAAATGTATGCACTGAATTCAGGGTCTGGAAACACAGGATGCCTGGTTACCCGGATCGCACAACACCGTGTCATGAACTCTTCGCACAAAAAATGCATCAAAACGAAGCTGATCGCGTCGCGACGCATCCAATCGCGTCACGTCGCACAGCGTCGCACAAGATTGCATAACTCACGCGAGCCCAGACGGTCGGACGGTTCTTCGGATCGCGGTCGCACTGCGAGCACGGGCAGTGCAGGGTTTGCTTCTTAGAGGAGAAAAAACCAATCAGGCGGTACAGAGTCCACGGTATGGCCAGTAACGCGACGATCGATAACGCGAACACCGGAAACAGCGCACTCATCTCCTCCTCTTGCGCCATGGCTGCCGAAGTTCAAGCCTCGCTTTTCACTAATTCCCCTCGTTAGATTGTGACTTTCCGCGACAACAGATAAAAAATATGCTGCAAGAGATTCGATAGCTAGATTGAGAATTAAGAGCCTCTAGGAGCGCGAAACCCACGCCGCAACGATCAGAGAGGCTGCAAACATTAAGAGTCTAAACCCACGGCATCACAATCGCACGGAGCTGGGCAAGGGGAGCTGCCAGGGACTGTTGTAGGACGTTGGCGATGCGCAACCAACTGGGAGAACACAGAGAACTACGAGAACAGGTGGTGAGACTGATCTGCTTCGATCGCTCTGAAGATCCCAATGTCAGTGACAAGGGAAGTGATGGAATTTAGGAGAGATCTGGCGCAATTTAGGCTCGACTTTAATGAAGTTCGAGTGTAGTCTGAAGTGTTTTGCATTTTCGTTACCACGCTTAACGAGAAGCTCAGCGGTGGATGTTGGGGGACACAAAGCGTTTTATTTGCAGAGAGAGCAAAAATCCGCTGATGATGATGTGGTGGAGCTGCAGAGCAGACCCGCAATCCCTGTGGGAGCCGAGAGCTCCATTGGTCGATCCTTCCTCGGGATCTCCGCAGCTTGACCAGGCTACCAGCGGTGTCGAAGTTCCAACCCACAGTTGTGCGCACCCTCTCATCAGGACCAGGCGACATCCGGCGAGCTTGCACGAACATGCACGACCCAAATTCCTGTCAAGGGTCCCCCATGTTTTCAATTTGAGAAGAGGTTGTACTATTAAATGGGTAACCCGGTTGACACAGTCCTTACAGAACTCGCAGATGTTATTTCTTTATCCATTTCTCTTTCTGTCATGGCGGCCTGACATTCCTTTAAATCCTGCTGCTTCCCTTCTGCTCCTCCAGTTCCCACGCTCTTCCATCGGCGCTCGTGAATCTTTCGTGGCTTCACTGAATCCCTAGTTTCCGCATCGGCTTTTCCTGATTCCTTAGTCGTCGACTGCGCGTCGCCAATCTTGGCTCGCGTGGTATCTGCTCCCTCGTTCTTATCCTGTTGGCGTGGACCAACATGGCATTCATATCGTACGCCATCTACTTGATTTTCTTGCCGATTCGATGGCTTCTGTACCTCGTCATCGTGAAGGGATTTCACTACATCTTTCAGACGCTCGGATTTACGATTGGTTTGCTCGGCGGCTTAGTTGCTGGCTACTTCATTTTCATTCATAAACTCCCAACCGCCGTGGAGGTAAGTTCCCAGATAATTGGTGTGCTCTGCGACGCGTCTTAGTCGCCAAATAATTTTCTTGTCATGAGTCAATGTTTATAACAATCAACCCTCTCACATGTTATTTTTTCTTCCTCTCGATTCAAAACCGAAAGAATTTGTCGCATCATCTTTCACCGCACTCTCAAACAGCATTTTCATGCGTTTCTTCATACGTTCGCGGGTTTCATTATTTTCCTTCTTTCCCCAGGTCCTGATTTTCCAGGTTTTTATTTCCCCGGGATTTTATGTTCTTTTTCGTTCCCGCAAGAGCCAGGGGTGAAGGAGCTGATTCCGGAGGGCGCGACGACTTTTGAAGCGCCTCGTTCCGCTTCTGCTTTGTTCTGATTCTGTTCTTCTTTTCTTCTTTTCTTTGTCGCAGGAGCCAGAGGTGAAGGAGCTGATCCCGGAGGGGCGCGACGCTCAAGGAGGAGGAGCTGCAGGAGTACTACTCGTATCTGCCGCCGTGGGTCAGCAACCCGGACTACGAACGCGTAGACTGGATGAACAAGCTCGTCGCTGAGATGTGGCCCTACCTCAACAAGGTTAGAATCTAACGGTGTCCTAAATGCAACGCGACTAACAAAGGAACACGCTATAATGAAGGAGCAGGCGCTACCTGTTTCACACACAAAGAGCCAGAGGCGAAGGTCTACGAACGCGTGGACTGGATGAACAAGCTCGTCACTAAGATGTGGCCTTCACTTCCAATGCACCGCCGACATTTGAGTCGATTCAATCGTCAGCGCGTGGACTGGATGAACGATCTCGTCGCCGAGATGTGGCCCTACCTTAACAAGGTAATTTTCCAACTGTACCTTCACTCTCGACATTTGAGTCGACTCATTAGTTAGCGCGTGTACTGCATGAACAAGCCCATTGCCGAGATATGGCCGACTTTTGAGTCGACTCAGTAGTCAGCGCGTGGCGTGTACGGCATGAACAAGCCCATTGCCGAAATGTGGCCCTATCTTAACAGTATGTTTTCAACTGTAATTCCATTTCCAGCAACGAGGTGATTTATGAGGCCATCAGCGAGCAGATCAGGGAGATTGGGACGCCCATGCTCAAAGCCCAACAGCCCGCGTTGCATCCACGAGAACCCTCGTCTTCTTTTCTAATCTCACATTCTTTTCAATTGATGCGTTATGCATCGGTGTACCTTGTGTTTCCGTGTGTCCGTGCGTCCCATCAGGCCATCAGCGAGCAGATCAGGGAGATTGGGACGCCCATTCTCAAGGCGCAGCAGCCCGCGTTCATTGAGACCCTTGAATTCCAGGAGATCGACCTGGGAACCATCCCGCCTGCTGTCCTTGGTCAGTCTCATTCGGGCACTCTGCTGCATGCTTTCTAGTGCGTGCTGCTGTCAATTGCATGCTCGCAGCAGCCCGCGTTCATTGAGACCCTTGAATTCCAGGAGATCGACCTGGGAACCATCCCACTCGCCGTCCTCGGTCAGTCTGCTGCATGCTCTCTCTGCTACTTGCTCCCTCTGCTAATTTCTCTCTCTGCTACCTGCTCTCTCTGCTACTTGCTCTCTCTGCTACATGCTTTCCGCTACGTGCTCGTTGTGACATGCTCTTTGCTCTGCGACATGCTCTCTGCCAGTCCCCTCCTCAGTTGCTCACATCCGTCGTATTCATAGGCTGGTTCTCCTCCCCTCGTTTCCACCACATCCTTTCCGGAATCCGGCTTTCCCTATTCCTGCCTACTCTTGGTTGTCCCTCCCTCGTGAAAGAAGGAGTGTTTTGAGACGTCTCAAAACACCCCTTTTCCTGCCTACTCTTGGTTGTCCCTCCCTCGTGAAAGAAGGAGTGTTTTGAGACGTCTCAAAACACCCCTTTTCCTGCCTACTCTTGGTTGTCCCTCCCTCCCTCCCCCCCCCTCCTCCCCACCTCCCTCCTCGTTCCTTCGCTCCCCCACTCTCTCCCTTGCTCGCTTCCTTGCCTCATCCCCCGCCCCCCCCATCGCAGCCATCAGGTCATTCTGCACACTGCACTGCACTGTGCTTATGAGCCCCAAGTCCGCGCTTCTGCTCATCCCTCCCTTGCTCCCCTTCTCTCTCTGCCCCCCCCATGTTAGCCATCAAGTCGTTTGACACAACGGATGACGAGGTCATCCTGCAGACTGCACTGCCTTTATGGGTCTAATGTCCCTTCGCCCTTCAGCTTACTCCACCATCCCTCCCTCCCCCCCCCCCCCCCCGCCTACCTCAACTCCCCTCCCACGGCAGCCATCAAGTCGTTTGACACAACGGACGGCGAGGTCATCCTGCAGACCGCACTGCCTCTATGAGCCAGGTCACCTGCATCCCACGTTTGTTGTCCATCCCTCCCTCTCTCTGTTCTCTCCCCTCCCCCCCCCCCCCCCCCCCTCCCTCCCTCCCTTCCCCCGCGCAGCCATCAAGTCATTTGACACCACGGATGACGAGGTCATCCTGCAGACCGCACTGCGCTGGGCGGCCAACAACAACATTATCGTCGCTGCCTCCGCCAAGGGCTTTACTGGCACCGTGCAGGTGCGTGGGGCTATGGTGGCTTTGCTGTTTCCCATACATGGTTCATCCTGCAGACCGCACTGTGCTGGGCGGCCAACAACAACATTATCGTTGCTGCCTCCGCCAAGGGCTTTACTGGCACCGTGCCGGTGGGTTGGGTTCCCTGTTGGTGCTGCTGCTTCCTTTCCTCCACTGCATGGTGCTGTTCGGTGCTGCTTGGTGCTGTCGGTGCTGCCCTCTCCTGGCCTGTTCCGGCCAACAACAACATTATCGTTGCTGCCTCCGCCAAGGGCTTTACTGGTACCGTGCAGGTGGGTTGGGTTCCCTGTTGGTGCCGCTGTTTCCTTTCCTCCACTGCATGGTGATGTTCGGTGCTGTTCGGTGCTGCTTGGTGCTGCTCTCTGTGCTGCCCTGCCCATCAGATTATCGACCTACAGGTGGCTGCAACCACGCGCATCACGCTCAAGCCGCTCGTGCCCATCTTCCTGTCACTCTCTGCCTCTCTCCTTCCCCACTCCTTCCCTTGTCCTTTCGACTGTGCTGTGCTGCCCTGCCCATCAGATCACCGACCTGCAGGTGGCAGCAGTGACGCGCATCACGCTCAAGCCGCTCATGCCCATCTTCCCCTGCTTCTCCACCATCACCGTCTCCTTCATGGATAAGGTACCGCCCACCCCACCTCTTCCATGGCTCTTCCATGCCTCTTTCACATGGAAGAGGAAACGTCAGTCTTTCACCTCATCTCATCTCAACAATGAATAGGTGACCCCTGCTTCTCCACCATCACCGTCTCCTTCATGGATAAGGTACCGCCCACCCCACCTCTTCCATGGCTCTTCCATGCCTCTTTCACATGGAAGAGGAAACGTCAGTCTTTCACCTCATCTCATCTCAACAATGAATAGGTGACCCCTGCTTCTCCACCATCACCGTCTCCTTCATGGATAAGGTACCGCCCACCCCACCTCTTCCATGGCTCTTCCATGCCTCTTTCACATGGAAGAGGAAACGTCAGTCTTTCACCTCATCTCATCTCAACAATGAATAGGTGACCCCTGCTTCTCCACCATCACCGTCTCCTTCATGGATAAGGTACCGCCCACCCCACCTCTTCCATGCCTCTTCCATGCCTCTTTCACATGGAAGAGGAAACGTCAGTCTTTCACCTCATCTCATCTCAACAATGAATAGGTGACCCCCGCTTCTCCACCATCACCGTCTCCTTCATGTGGATAAGGTACCCCCCCCCCCTACCACTTTCACACCACTTTCACACCACTTTCACACCTCTTCCACACCTCTCTCATGTTCTTTCATGCCTCTTTCGCGTTCCTTTTCGCGCACTATCATGCAATGCCTATTTCCCTGCCTCATCCCAGCTTTGAGTTTGCAACAACGCAATTATCTACTATCACCCTCCCCTTTACTCCTATTGTGCACATCTTATTTTACATCAAACAAAACAAAATAAGAACAAAAACAGGGAGCTCTGTGATCCCTTTTCCTGCCATTCGTCCTCCACACGCCTCTGCCATTCTCTCTCTCCCCCCCTTCATCCCCTTGTCCTGCCATCCGTCAATCCGCTCCTGCCTTGTCCTCCTGCGTGCCATCCCCCGCTCTCATCCCATCCCTCAACAGCCGCAAGTCGATTTCGGTCTCAAGGTGGTGGGACTAGACGTCATGGCCATCCCCGGCCTCTACACCTACGTGCAGGTGCGTGCTGCTCTGTAGGTATGTTAGCCTGTAGGTCGGCAGGTATCAGGTGCTGTCAGGCACTTTAGAGTCTCAAGGTGGTGGGACTAGCCGTCATGGCCATCCCCGGCCTCTACACCTACGTGCAGGTGCGTGCTGCTCTGCTGCTTGTGCGGTGTCAGGTGCTTGCCTTGAACCGCAGGTTTCAGTTGAGCTGGCAGGTTGTTTCACCTTTGAGGGACCACAGAGTCTCAAGGTGGTGGGACTAGCCGTCATGGCCATCCCCGGCCTCTACACCTACGTGCAGGTGCGTGCTGCTCTGTAGGTCTGTTCCTCTGTCGGTCTGCTGCTCTGTAGGTCTGTAAGTCTGCAGGTATCAGGTGCTTTCACGGACCTCAGAGTCTCATCAAGGTGGTAGGACTAGACTAGCCGTCATGGCCATCCCCGGCCCCTACACCTACTTACAGGTGCAGGTGCGTGCCCCTGCTGCTCTACTGCTCTGCAGGTCTCAGGAGTTGCCTTGAAGTGAGGTTCAGTTTCAGAACGTGTCTTGAACTGCAGGTTCATGTGCAGTTGAGAGCCTTCACACACCACATTCCCCCGTCTGCTCTCAATCAACCCTTTCACTAGCCTGAGCCTCCGTTCTTCCCGAGCAGAAGACCATTGGCAGCGCAGCGCCCAGCATGGACATGTGGCCGTCACTCTCTCCCCTCTGCTCTCCTCCTTCCTTGCTTCCTACCTCTCCGCTCCTTCCCCATTTCCCACTTCTTCCCCCATCCTTCGAGCAGAAGACCATCGGCTCGCAACATAGCAGCCAGCATGTACATACATGTGGCCCAAGGTGTAGAAAGAATGACTTGTGAGATTTCTCGAATGTGTTTTTAACTCCCCTGCTCTCCCTTGCTTCTGCCTCCATCTCTCACCCAAGCAGAAGACCATCGGCAACATAGCAGCCAGCATATACATGTGCCTTCCCTCCTTTCCTCTTGTCTCGCTTCTCAACTTTCCACTCCCCCATCCCTTCCACTTGCCTCCACTCCATCATTCACACAAGCAGAAGACCATCGGCAACATAGCAGCAAGCATGTACATGTGGCCCAACCGGAAGTGTAGAAATCACTTGTGATTCGGATTCCCCATGCTCACTTTCTCAAAGTGATTCGGATTCCCATGCTCACTTTCTCAAAAGTGATTCGGATTCCCCATGCTCACTTTCTCAAAAGTGAGAAAGCATAGCAGCCAGCATGTACATGTGTGTAGAAATCACTTTCTCAAAAGTGAGAAAGCATAGCAGCCAGCATGTACATGTGTGTAGAATCACTTTCTCAAAAGTGAAAAGCATAGCAGCAGCATGTACATGTGTGTAGAAATCACTTTCTCAAAAGTGAGAAAGCATAGCAGCCAGCATGTACATGTGTGTAGAAATCACTTTCTCAAAAGTGAGAAAGCATAGCAGCCAGCATGTACATGTGTGTAGAAATCACTTTCTCAAAAGTGAGAAAGCATAGCAGCCAGCATGTACATGTGTGTAGAAATCACTTTCTCAAAAGTGAGAAAGCATAGCAGCCAGCATGTACATGTGTGTAGAAATCACTTTCTCAAAAGTGAGAAAGCATAGCAGCCAGCATGTACATGTGTGTAGAAAATCACTTTCTCAAAAGTGAGAAAGCATAGCAGCCAGCATGTACATGTGTGTAGAAATCACTTTCTCAAAGTGAGAAAGCATAGCAGCCAGCATGTACATGTGTGTAGAAATCACTTTCTCAAAAGTGAGAAAGCATAGCAGCCACATGTACATGTGTGTAGAATCACTTTCTCAAAAGCTGATTCTGATTCCCCATGCTCTCCCTTGCACGTGCCTCCACTCTGTCCCCTCGAGCAGAAGACCATCGGCAACGTAGCAGCAAGCATGTACATGTGGCCCAAGGTGCTTGAGGTCTACGACGACCAGCCGCTGTGAGTGCCTCTCTCAGGTCACAAGCGACAAAGGTCCATGCGAGAAAAAGCACTGTTAATAGCCCAGCAGCAAGCATGTAGCATGTGACTCTCAAGGTTTAGGGTCCTTGAGGTCTATCATGACCAGCCTTGGGAACATCCGCTTTGAGTACTTGTTAAGGTCACAAGTGACAGAGTCCACTCCCCCCTCTCTTCCTTCTTCAGCGCCCCCATCGGCTGGTTGGTGATCACCCACATCAAGGGCACCCATCTGCGCAACTGGGAGGCATGATGGCCAAGTCCGACCCCTACGTGCGCTTCTACCCCCACTCACACCATTCTCCTTCCCTGCTCCTCCCATCCACACCCCCTGCTCCTCCCTTGCTTTCTCTCCTCCCCCCCCCACCGCCCCCATCGGCTGGCTGGTGATCACCCACATCAGGGCACCCATCTGCGCAACCTGGGCGGCATGATGGCCAAGTCTGACCCCTACGTGCGCTTCTTCAACCCTGTGTCTTTCCCCCCCCCACCCTCGCCCCCTTTGGCCCTGCCCCCCACACACGCAGCGCCCCCATTGGCTGGTTGGTCATCACCCACATCAAAGGCACCCATCTGCGCAAACCTGGGCGGCATGATGGCCAAGTCCGACCCCTACGTGCGCTTCTCCCATTGATGGACGCGCGCTGGGCCGCCGCAGCACGTCGGTCAAGAAGGACGATTTGGACCCCGACTGGGGCAAGGAGGAGCTGCTGGTGCGCGTGGCGGATCTTCAGAAGCAGAAGCTGCATATTGAAGTGTTCGACAAGTCCTTTACGGTGAGTTGGGAGGGGGGATTTGGGGGTGCTCCTAGGTGAAGCTGTGGCCGAAATCCGACCCCTAAATGCTGACTTCTCTCCATTGACGGCCGCGCGCTGGGCCGCCGCAGCACGTCGGTCAAGAACGACGATTCGGACCCCGGCGACTGGGGCAAGGAGGAGCTGCTGGTGCGCGTGCGGGTCTTCAGAAGCAGAAGCTGCATATTGAAGTGTTCGACAAATCGTTCACTGTAAGTTTTGTTTGGGAGTTCGAGTCGACTCAGCAGTTACCTCTTGTTGACCCCGACTGGGCCAAGGAGGAGCTGCTGGTGCGCGTGTGCAGACCTGCAGAAGCAGAAGCTGCACGTTGAAGTGTTTGACAAGTCCTTCACCGTGGTGAGTTGGGAGGGGGGATTGAGGGTTCTCCTAGGACTGCTTGTGCGCGTGGCGGATCTTCAGGAAGCAGAAGAGCTGCACGTCGAATTGGGGGTTCTTCTGAGCTCATGTGTGGTCCAAGTCC